AGGAGGAATTTATAGAGCGCCCCCATCTCTTCAGGAATTATTTAACGTCGCAGTCAGGACGACGATCACAGCCAGAATCACAATGAACTCCCAACCAGAAATGTTTATAGACGGTCTGGTAAGCGTCTGTCATGGGTTGGCACACCCGGAGGAACTTCTATCAGCGCAGCAAGTGCCAAACAGGACAGCAGCCATCGCATGCGTGCACTACTCCCTGGGGCTGGCATGGTGACCGTGACCCAAGTGCTTCGACAAGGGCCCTTCAGAGGCACCGCCCTTTCTCCTTCCAGTATGCTTCTGGGAAGATTGTCGTCTCTCAAGGTAGCGCGCTCACGACACCTCACCAAAAGAGAGGACTCTCAAGTTGGACTCACTTCCTCACGGTAAGAAGAGATTGAGAGAGTAGATAAGGTAAGGGAACAACGTACCTGGAGATAGCTGCCCCCAACCACAGATTTCTCACCAATTGAGCTGATGTTGCATTTGATGACCGGTCATGACCTCGGTACCACCCACAACGCAATGCAGTGCCACCTTAGTCCAATCCCACATCAGCATGCTCTCATCACCAATCAAACATTCCGCTGTATCCCACGGCTAATAATGTCGTCAATAGCCTTCCGGTGCACCCCTCTCTACCCAGGGCGTGCACCTAGTGTAGCCTGACGTCACAAGTACCCACTGCGAAGAAGCATCATCAACGCACCAAGTCTGTATAACGCCAGCGTGCCAAAGGTAAGTGGCGATCAAACCAGGTCCGATACCAAATTGCAAGGAACACGAGTATGGACGAAGCACAGAAATCCAGAATGCAAAATCACACTGAAGTCCAAGTATTCAAAGCCAAAGCAGATAGCACATGGAACCGAGTAACCATATCCCATTGAGAATGATACAGAAGAATCGTGAGTCAATGTCCATGCCCAACAGGGCAACACCGACAGCATAACCCAAATGTAGCTCCCTCTTGTGAATGGCGCCAGGCGCCCTATCTACTCTACAGCCTATCCTACAACTACAGCAATGAACAGCAACCAGACAACTTGACTACCAGCGAGTGATGATGTCAACACCAATGCAGACCTCCACCATCACCAGGTACGTGTCATCTTCCCCACACTCTCCCTTGTTACCCACACAGCGCCCTTCACCTCCGAAGTACCACCTTCGCCCTCACCTCCCCTGCACCCTCTATTGATAATTTCTTCATTCTATTCATATAGAAACATATTATCATTAATAAAATAGAATAATAATCATCATCATAAATAAATTGAATAGAAATATTCTAGATATAATGTATAGATAGGTATATTTAGATTATATATAGATATATATATCTTTAGGACACTATTATAGCATCTATTTGTTGAAACTTACTATGGCTGCCAGTGCCCTCAGTGCAGGCAGCGCCCTACCGCCTAGCGCTGGCCTGCTTGCTCTTAGCGCAGCACTGCCTTGCACAGCGCGGCACACATGCATCCGCGCAGCGTGCCCGCATGTGCCAGCATTGGCCAAGATCCTTGCTGCCTCGCCCTGCTTGCCTATATGCCAATGCAGCATGTGGGCGGCCTTTCTTCAGCCTGCGACCGGGACCCAGAGGCTGAAGCCTTCCCGATACAGTTGGGCCCCGGAGCAATGCAGTTGCGCCTCTCTTCTCAAGGCCTGCGGCCAGATTCAGATAGTGGGCCGATTTTCCCTTTGGCATTTCGGCCTCTCTACCCAGCATGCATTGTCGGCCTCACGTTCGAGTGCCCAGGGCCTAACTAACTCAGAGGCCCTGGGCATTTCAGCATTTGCTGAAATCCGAGACTCGGTGCACTCCAACCAACTGGCGTGCTGCAACTGTATAGACCCCACTTCGTGAAATGTTGGCCGAGAGGGCTCTTGTGGATTTGCTGGCCGCCTTCACTTAGGGCGGGCACTAGGCTTGCTGGGGCCTTAGCCCAGAACATGTACATCATGGCAAGGCCCCTACTTGAGGGCTCAATCCTCACAGCCTCAATAGATTAGGAGGTGCAGAGGAGGGGAAGAGTTCGTGGGAAACACATTAAAGGGAGGAGGGGGAACATGGGAAGGGCAGGGAAAAATTGTCGCAAGAGAGAGAGAGAGAGAGAGAGAGAGAGAGAGAGAGAGAGAAGGGGGGGGTCGGGGGTCAGGTCAGAGGGGAAAGACAACAGAGACAAGGCATCAAAATCATGGAAGGAGGGCGGAGAGGGGAAGAGAGGGGGAGAGGGCGGGGAATAATCATCTCAGTACAGGGAGGGGAGAGAGAGAGAGAGAGAGAGAGAGAGAGAGAGAGAGAGAGAGAGAGAGAGGTACTGACATCATGCTGTTCCTCCAGCTGCAGCAATAACCCATTGCTGGAATGCAGGCTGTTTCCACGGAGGTTGGCCGATAACTTCACTGGGAAACTGGCAAGCCAAAGGACTGTTCCCCGGGTACCTGGCAACCTCAGATTCCAAAACTTTTTTTTTTTTCCGGAGGTGTGGCTTGCTATCCCCCACAACTCCTTGTTGTTGTAAATCCCTCCTGTGTGGTATAGGCGCTGTAGTAGGCCATGCTTGTGGGGTACAGCACGTATGTCGACACGTGCTTGCTACGCAAGGACCGGGTGCACAGTAAACATGTTCTGAATCGTTGATATTCAGCTCTATTTCAATTATTTTCTGGTGCATTCATTGATCTCCTGCTTAAGTGTTGAGTCTCCTGACAGCATTCTCTTTTGAACCCCAGGATGCCTGTTGCTGCGGTTGTGAAGCTCATCCCTACCAGAGAAGAACCATATTTCAGGAATAACCTTCTCAGCCAGATTTGGAAGAAAAACGGTGAGTTTATTTTCTGCCTTGGCCTGGTTTGGTCATTGGATTGACACTTTGAACATGGAGAAATTCTGCTCTTAAGGTAGTCTCTTATTATGGTGTTGGATCCTGAGTCTTTATGGTTTTTTGAACCTTTTCTTTCGTTTTCGAACTCGCAACGGAATTGCCTTGACTTGGTGCCGCTCCTCTGATTCACAAATGGATTGCTTTATTTTTGAATATTTTTTCTCTATTCTTTATGTTTAACCTTCAATCCTTTTCTTCTTGTTCTAATTTCCTTTTTAACCACTGATTCGGGAAAAGAATTCAGCCCTGTACTGCCTCATATTTTTGAATCAATTGTGTAACCTGCAATCAGACTCGTCTTCTTCTTCGTTCAACATGCATGCAAACAGATGGCAATCTAAACTGGCGCCAGGCGCCCACACAAAGCTCAGAGATATCAAGGCCGAGAACACAGTTCAGATACAAACTCACTTCACACTGGCTATGGCGCCTGAGCGCCTAAACTTCACTTCCCCAATCTGTATTCACAGGGACTGTTTGCACACACTCAACTCTGGATCTCCCTGGATTTCCCACGCACGTTCACTCTGTATCTCACACACACACACACACACACACACCCTCACTACTAACTATCGCTAGCTATGGCAGCTATGGCCGTCGGCAACCACTCCCTACAAGCAGCGATGGCTGCTCTATCTTCCTCGCAGCCCACTTCGACTTTGGGCATCTGCAGACCACCTCGCACAAGACGCTAGTGCAATGACTTGCTGGTTCCAGGTTGCCTGTAGCCTCTCTCTGACGAGGCTGTACCATAGGTAGGGACAGATTTGTAATTTTGTTTGGGTGAGGGCTAACCGAGAGACCTACCTGTAGGGAAAATTTGTGAGGGCTAACTCGAATTTCCTACAGCTATCCTAACTGCGAATAGCAGACCCGGGCTACCCCTAGGACAGACAGGCCCTATGGGCCTACGCTGATAGGCAGTCCTATAGCCTATAGCCGGGTAGGGAGAGGCCCTAGAGGCCGAAACAGAAACGGTACCGGTCGGTCAGTCAGTCCGGTCTAGGTCGTGTCTAGGCTAGTTTAGAGGATAGATAGGATGGGGACATCGGTTCTGGGCTTTTTGCAGTTGATACTTCGTGGTGGAAATTGCTGCGCACACGGTATCAGGTCGTGGTTGCTGATTCCGGTGGTGGAGACGGCGGACATAGCCAGACCTTCGGGGCGCTGACCAGACGGGTCAACGCTGTCCGCTCTGACTCTCTGGGAGTCAAAGCGGTCTGGGCTATGAGAGGTCTGATGCGTTGGAGCACGTGGTGCACTGCTGACCCTCCTCAGGAATAGGGTCCTAGTGGCGATGCAGCCATAGCTGCATCTTCTCAGAGGATATCATCGTCTGGACTTCATCTTCATCAGGGACTGTTGGCGCTGGGCTTCTTCTTCATCATCTGGGTGGCGATTGGCTCTGGGAGCCTGTTTCACTTTGGTGCAGGCCACTGAGTTGGATGTCAGGGTGGCGTTGGGTGTTACCTAGGGTTTCGGTGCTATTTTTAGCTGTTCCGGGTGGTGGGGTTGAGGCGCTACCCCTCTGAGGGTAGCACAACAGGGTTCTGAGGTCATTTTAGTTGAACGATGCTCTAAGTTTAATAAACAGTGGTAATACTGTGTATGAGTTGTCATCTCTTCATTGATTTCTGGTTGTGATCACTCGGTTGTCTTCTATGAATGATTGTTGGGACTTACGTGGAGAGAATTCACTGAATTGTGTATTCTGTCACTTCGCTTCTCCGAGTCTTCCGCTGCGTTTTCTTTTCTGGGCGGTGTGACCCTCCACTACCTCTCCCCTTCCTTTTGTGCATGTATGGGCATGTACGGGAGTTCCTGTGAGTGAGTGCTGATAAAATTTCAACAGACAATCATGTTTATAACAGTTGGTATCGGAGCAGATCGGACCCAGACAGTGGCAAGATGATGGACTGAGGCAGCCATCACTACCTGAGAGCTTCTGACGTTGGATTTCATGGAGGAATCACATCTTCAGTACTGCGCTCAATAGGGTGTTGGTGAGGAGTGTGTGGTGGTTGGTATGACATAGAGATTGGTGGCGATTCAGTGCTCAGTGGCCTGAGAGGCACTAAGGGGCTATTTTTAGCCCAAGCGTTGACTCTGCTGGTGACGAAATACCTGGGGGTATGTCGAGTTTCAGATTCTGGGCTAGATACAGTGAATCTGATTAGTGGGGGTTAATCGCCATATCAAGAACTACATTATCACCAAGTTTCAGGAGATTTGGAACGTGGGAGCACCAGGAACAGTGAATTGAAGAAACTGGCGAGATGGCAGCCATAGCTAGTTCAGCTTCTTCGTCCAGTGTCTTGCCCTGAAGTAAGTGTGTTCCTTACTCAAGTCCCTGTAGCGAGTCTGATAGTTGTGATTATACTGGGAAAATTGAAATTGTATGTCTATAGACAGTGAAACTTGAAAATCGCACTGCCTGACAGCCAAAGCTATTTCCCCTACCTATCTACTTTGACTTCTACTGACTTTGTTTGACCTCCTCTCTGTCTCAAATTGCATCTCTGACTGTGTTACAGTATTGCGATTCAGTACACATAGTGAATTGAGTAGTTCAGGGTCTGTATGTCAGTGATAATGAAATTTTGAATGTTGCGCTGCCATAGCCAATGCTTGGGGCAGCTAGGGTTTATCATATCTTAGATTCTGTCCGTCAGAATTTCAGTCTGTCAGTCCCCCTGGAATCGCAATTCAGTATTGAGTCAGTGTCTGAAAGCGCTATACTGGAATTGATGTTTTGAGTAAGATACAGTGATACCTTTACTTCGCCTCACCTATAGCGGGGCATACAGGGTCCAACAGTGCCAGTGTCAGTAGTAGGAGTCTAAGAATAGCTTGATCAGTCATCCGCTGCATCTTGGTTGACTACTGAGTTCTGTTAATTGCTACTGACTCTCTGCGCTATTCTAACCTTCCTACTTATAGTCCAAGGTTGCATCCTGACTAATTATCTGACAGTGACTCTGGGGTTATAATACTCAGATGAGGGTTCTGGGCCGTGAATGAAAAATCGCAAGCTGATTTTATCTGGACTTATCCTAAACTGACCCAGAACAGCCCTCAACGGCCTACAGAGGTTGAGCGCTCTTCTGCCCTTTACACCACGTCTCTTCTCATCAGGTGGCAGTGATTACATCAGTGGTTGCGTGTGTAATCTTAATCCCTGCTGACCTTGTATCTGTCTGTCATATTTATTTGACTGGCTGAGTGGTTCATTATGGCTGACGCTGAAACGAAGATTGAGGGAGGAGAAACTTCCATTAGCCCTCCTCAAGTTCCTCTCTCTCCTCTGGAGGTGGCTCTGTGTGAGGTTGAGCAGGCTCGCCTCAAGCCATAGGCCCAGATCCAGCGTTTGAAACAGGAGATGGAGGAAGCTCAGGAGGCTAGTAAGAATGAAGAGAGGAGGAGACAACTACGAAAGGATGTTGAAAAGGTTGTCACGAGTAGTACTTCCATTCAGTACAGTAAGGATACTGCTGAGTTGGTGCCGTTAACAGACACCATCAACAGGTCTTACTTTTCTAACTGGGACCAGCGGATACTCGCGCTCGAGACCCAAGGTTCTGCCATCGACCGAAAGGTTGATAAACTGCCAGCAAGCCTTGAGTCCCTGACGGGGAGTGTGAACAACATTCTGCAGCATCTGCACCTACCTGTCCCTTCTCCCCAACCTCCTCAACCTTCCCCAATGCCTTCTACACCATCTCACAGTCGGCCATCTTCACCTGCTGGTTCCCATGTGTCCACTATCTCTGTTCCCTCTGGCACATCTGATCCGTGGCAGCCCAAGCTGACGCCACCTCCAAAGTATTATGGGGAAGACCCCAAGGTGGACGTTTCAGATTGGGTTACTGCTATGCAGGCGTACCTGGGCAACTTTGTATGTCCAAAGGTGACAAAGGTAGGGACCATTCTGGGTCGTTTGGAGAGGACTGCACTGAAATGGTGCACCTCCACTGCAGCGAAACAGAACTTGCCCATGGACAAATGGGCACAACAGCTGAAGGTGGAGGGGTTGTTGCAGGCCCTGCGGGACCGGTTTGCAGACAGGGAAATACTGCTGCTGGGCTCGCGCAGATTTGAGGGTTCCCTGTCCAAGCTCTATAGTTTGTTTGAGAGCTTGACTGCAACACCCGGTCAGGAGATGAGTGAGTCTGACCAGCTCACTCACTTCCTGCGCGCAGCGCCTCCAGACTACTCCATCGCTCTCTACTCTCAGGACCATAAGGACTGGAGGTCCTTTGGCAAAGCGGCCCTGGACCTGGAGTCTCGGCTCAAGGTTCAGTAACCTTCTGAAGGAAGGAGGAGACCCTCTTCCAGGGGACAGCGCAGGAAGAAGGGTGCTCTATTGGCTGCTGATGCAAGTTCTGATTCTGATGCATCTCAGCGTGGCAGTCCTCCATCTGAGATTGCATTAGTATCAGCAGTTGAGCCAGCCGTTCTTGCCCTGGCTGAGAACCTTGCTGCAATCTTCAAGGGAAAGACTGGCAGCAGCAGCAACAAGGCCTCAACCAGCCAGAAGGGGAAAGGGAAGGGGCATGCCTCTTCCCCTCAGGCCCAAAGAGGGGTTGTTGCAGGCCCTGCGGGACCGGTTTGCAGACAGGGAAATACTGCTGCTGGGCTCGCGCAGATTTGAGGGTTCCCTGTCCAAGCTCTACAGTTTGTTTGAGAGCTTGACTGCAACACCCAGTCTAGAGATGAGTGAGTCTGACCAGCTCACTCACTTCCTGCGCGCAGCGCCTCCAGACTACTCCATCGCTCTCTACTCTCAGGGCCATAAGGACTGGAGGTCCTTTGGCAAAGCGGCCCTGGACCTGGAGTCTCGGCTCAAGGTTCAAGAACCTTCTGAAGGAAGGAGGAGACCCTCTTCCAGGGGACAGCGCAGGAAGAAGGGTGCTCTATTGTCTGTTGATGCATGTTCT